GATCATTTCTTTGAAAGTGAGCGTGTAATTCCCACAATCCGTCAAATAGAATTTAACGCTACGCACTCCGGCCTCCCACAATCCTCCGAAATGAGAAGCTAACGAGGGAATAAACTTCTATCATACCAATTGGAAAGCTAACTTGTTAAGTACGCGAGGATCGGATTGAATGACCTTCCACATAGCTCCTGATCGGTTCTTCGGAAGTTTTTCGCATTATCTGAATAGACATGACGGGATGCCTCGGCGAGCCTAGAATTGACTGTATGCAGCTAAGAACGCATCAGTAGAATAGTCCCTGACGAGCTCTAAATGAATAGCTCGGACAGTCATACATATAAACAGTGCAATGTACGTTTTTCGTGCTTTATATCTCCATTTCGCGGCGGGACGAACGGAACGAGAATGGATCCGGCATAATCTACTCCACAATGCAAGAATGCACGAGTACCCTTCCGAATGCGTATATCGAGCAAATCTCCTATAAATTCATGCGTCTTATCAGTCCTCTCGCACGCACATTTTATGCATCTGTGTATGATTGATTTAACTGTTTGATGAGCGCGGAGAATCCAAAATTCATCGCGAAGTACGCGCAGAGTGACTTGCGTACTTGCATGAAGAGTTCGGAGATGAATGTGCTGAATTAAAAGTGAGAGTAGAAAATATCATCCGAGAATAATCGGATGTTTCGCCTCATTCGGGAGCTCCGAGTGATGGAGTCCTCTGACTCGAATTAAACCATATTGGTCAAGGAAGGAATTTAGACCTAAGAGCTTACTGTTATTAGCGACCCGATCTTTCGCTTTTAGTTCTTTGAGGAAAAGTACGAGATTGCATGTATCGACACTAAAAACGTTTGGCATTGCTCACTTCGGATTGATCTAATACTTTTGGAGTCGGAGCGTAGAGATCCGGAGAAGAGACTGAATGCTTAAGTATTTTCACCTTAAGTCTATCGACAAAACGAAGAATATATACTGTAACGCGAATTAATTTTGGCCACGATGAAAATCGTTGAAGGAGATCCCATTCATCTTGTGTCAATTACAAGACTAACAAGATGAGACTTGGCTTCGAACGAAAAATTCAGAGAAAGAGTAACATCAATTTGAGGCCATTGAGCACTTGGTAATTTAAACTATTCTGAATCTCCCTAGTCGAACTTATTGAGCAGATCTTATACGGGAATGCCTCGCGACACACAATCAGCTGGATTCTCTTGAGTTGGTATGTAATGCCATTGAGCGGTCGAAAGCTTAGATTGTATTTTGTCGATTCGATTCATTACGAATATTTTCTATTTGGCTATTTTATCCAAGCTAGAGCGACGGTGGAATCTGTCCAACAATGACATGGAATGTCGGTTAAGTTCAGAAATTCTCGAATATAAGAAATCATACGGGCCAAGAGAACAGCAGCCATTAATTCCAACCGAGGAATATTTAGATTTTTCAAGGGAGCGACTCAAGATTTCGCCATTAATAAACTTGGCGATCAGAGAAGAGAAGAGTTGACCCTGAAATAAAGCACGACTGCATAAACAGACGTGGATGGTCGGAAAAACCATGCAGTTCACAATATTGTGTGTCGTAATCTTTTTCGGTCCAGCGAGGAATTTCGACAGAATTGAAAAGTACGAGAGAACGATAATATGCAATCCAGTCATGAAAGATATCAGAAGGAATTGCATCATCCCAGAGAACTTTTGCACGCCATAAATGCTGCATCAGAGTGCTGTCCGATGACGCGTATCTCTATACGCGCGTATTCGCGTATCAAAGTTCCGACCAGTCGCTGACGTTCCGCCGTTTTATTATGCCTTTATGCAGCGATTTGTAAGCGGAAAATTTCAGGAGAAATTGATTCACGAACGACAAATTGTCTAATAATTAATGGACCAATTAATTCGAGTAATTTTTTCAATGTAATCGAATCCATTCTGAAATAATTACGAAATTTTGTTCTATCTTTAAACTCCATCTTTTTGACGTAGATTTTTCACTAACTCCTTGCAAGAAACGTCGATGCACAGTAAATATAGGTCGTAGCCAAAATTGACATTACTTGCCTTTTCCTTCGCTTCTTACAACTTTATATAATGCATACAAGAGCAAAATTTT